TGCGCACTTATAGTACAAAGAGATGAGTGCCAAACAAACTCTCACGGATTTCGAAAATTTTAATGCTTTTTCGTTATTTCCGGAATTTTGATAAGGGAACTCATAATTTGTAGAGAGAAGAGATGAAGAAGGGGATGGAATGGGATGGGGTGATGGAGAATTTAGGCGGGGGAGGAGGCGGGGGGGTGGGGGGAAGGACGGACAGGTTCTTTTTAAGGAAGCATGCCTATGAAATACTAATTTAGCATTTAGGCAGTGGGTTGCCAGATACAGTAGTGTGTGTGCATGGAATAAAAAAAAACTTGTGTTTCAAATTGTGAATACCCGAGGCCAATTTAAACACTTCCTACATCTTGCAGTTTTCTTTTTTTTTCAGTAAGTTCCAGTATTACAATAGAAAACTCTTAGCCAGCGTGTTTTCGCATTCAGAAAGAAGTTTCATTACATTTTAGCTTTTAAGAGCACACAGACTTAGCTATAAAGAGGAAACGCGGTGGAGCTGGGGAGCGCTTCCTTTTCCCAAAGCAGTACAGGACAAACAGCTCTTTCTGTCAAAATTAAAAGTCTTTTAAAACTTTATTATATTTTTCATACGCATTAATGAAAGCTTCTTGATAATAAAGTGCAAATTAATTATTTGAAAAGATCTCTTATTATGCCAACTGCTAAAATTCTGCTACGCTCGGTTTGGCTTGGCTGAATTAAGAGGCGAGTTGCAATAACTAAGAGGTAGTGGTAGAAGGACTAGGGCGGGAGAGAGATGGGAAGGAAGAATAGGTGTCGGCGTTAGCTTTAGTAATAGGCTGAGCTGAGTTTAGCAGTTGCCTTTATTATTAGTAATGTTATGAATAAACGCGAACATAATGTGTTCTCGTTCTTGTGAATTTCTCGTTGCATAACTGATCTTTGAAGAGGCTTATTAAATAATAAATCTGTGGTGCGCCTGCAGGTGACGAAGGTTGAAAGATGCATGCTCACAACAAATTCCTAGTGATCTCCAGATCATCAGGCAACCAGTGCGAAGTTTCCTTTCATCTCTCCTCATCTCTTCTCCTCTATCCCACCGTCACGCTTATGTTATCCATCCTTTTCATGTGTGGCAAGTTAGAGGCTATACTGATGATTCCCACTCCAACTTGCATCAGATTCTCTGTGTGTGTTTACAGCTAAGGGATGAAACGCAAACTGCAAACTTATGTGTGCCTTACAATATGTAGTTTTCCAATCATCTTAGACATAAATCCCTAATAATTCCCAGATACGTTGTCGAAAAGCTTACCGAATACAAATTCGTTTTCGATTGCGGAGTGAATGGATGCCAGATGCGCGCCTTGCGCCACACAAATCCCTTCATATTTCACTGCATTGCTCTCATTCATTGCGCTGGGCATATGTATATCCAGCACCTGCACCATCCATATTTAAAGAAAGAATATAATGTTGCACCGAAATAACGGAAATTACAAAATTTTCGAATAAAATAAATTGTGAATGAATCAGTAGCATGCACTCAGGTCACAGCAACACTGCACTTTTTTCCCACAGAAACACTCACTGAAAACTTTTACGACTTTTGCCAGTTTCACTTAAACGCCTGCTCGTGCCTCAATCATACAAAGCACTCCTCTCGCAAGTTGAAGCACAACTAAAATCAACCATCTGGGCCATGTTCTGTTTCGTCAATCACTATATTATATACGTGGGGCTTGCAAGTGTGCAATGAAGACAGCAGTAAATGTCCGGACAGATAAAAACAAAGAAATCAGGAATGAGTGCATTTTGTGCTACTTGTCCGAAATTACGTACAAAGTTTCAATGAGAAAAGGTTTTTTAAAAATATATTTCTCCTGTCACCCTGAACGGTTTCTCGAAACAGCGCTGTAAAACTTATAAAAGTAGAGCAGGCCATGGCAAAATTCAGACGCTTTCATCACGTCTAGCGAGTGACGGTGGAAGGGGAACAGTACAATAAGTCAAAACCTTCGTATTCGCTCTCTGTGAAAGACAAAGGCATTCGGGAAGTAACTCGAGTAGTAGTAAATGTGTAGGATAAAATATTTTATCAGAAATAAAGTATTATTCAGAGGGCGCTTGGAATAAACGTTTCAAAGACCTGGAAACGCGAAATGCTAAATCACTTACTTTATAATATGCATTCGTTTCCTTGTTGAAAATCCATCCAGGATTGTGCACATCTGCAGCGAGAATAACTGTTATCATCAATTAACACAAATTTTTTTGCTGGAAATGATTTTGGGACCTTGAGTATCGGATGTATCCATCCCGCAATCACACGGTTTTACAATGGAAATGCCCAATTCTCTGGGCAGTTACTAAAGCTCGGACTCGGCTCAGCTAGCCTCGGCTCGCCACGGCAGCTGCACAATTGGCAAATTTACCCGCAAATCATGTAGTAGGGGGCGATGAGAGAGGGATGGAGGGAGGGGCAGGGGGTGGGGGCCGGGAGGGGAGTGGGTTGGGGGAACGGTAGAGTAGGCTGTTGTGCTGGTTTTGTCGCGGATGCACGGGGTGTGAGGAGGGCTCAGAAGGGATGTACACTGCAGAGGACATAGAGGGGAGGACGAGGGGGAGAGGAGGAAGAGAGTTAACAGCACACCTTTGGGTGTTGTGTTCGAGAGGCGGGGAAGGGATTGGGATGCGGGCGAGAGGGAAGGAAAGGGGGAGTTGGTATGTGCGGGTCTCGCGCGTAGGGACTCAAGGCAAGGGGACGGTTTGGGTGAAAGCACTGAATGACTACATGACGCAAATCCTTGCGCTGTTGCCTAGGCCACATGAGAGAGAGGGGTGACGTGATGGCTTGAAAGGTGGAAAGCGAGAAAAAGGTACGAGCAAGAAAGAAAGTAAAAACAAGAAAAAAGTAAAAGGAAGAAAAATGCACAAGTAAGTAAGAAAGTAAAATCAAGAAAAGCAAGCGAAAAACCCGCCACCGATAGGGGACACACCTACCTATAAAGCTGATGCTTAGGTAAAGAAAACTGGAAGTAAATAAGGTGAAGTTGATGCTTAGGAGGAGCTGAGAGCTCTCAGCTTTACCTAAGCATCAGCAATTTATTCTCTCAGCTTTAACTAAGCATTAGTAATTTGATCCCTCAGCTTTACCTAAGTGCCAGCTTCATAAATACGGAAGATTCGACTAAGCATCAGTTTCATAAGCACGGAAGCTTTAAGCAAGCCGGGAGCCCATTATCCTCAAAGGTCTTTCCCATTTATGAGGTTGCTTAAGTAAAGTTGAGGGATCAAACTGCTAATGCTTAAATTTGAGAGCTCTCAGCTTTACCTAAGCATCAACTTCACCCTATTCGCTTCCAACTTTCTTCACCTAAGCATCATCTTTGTGTGGGGATGTCCCCTATTTATGGCGCGTTTTTCGCTTGCTTTTCTTGCTTTTACTTTCTTTCTTGCTTGTACTTTTTGCTTGCTTTCCTCCTTTCAAGCCATCACCCCCTCCCCTCTTCCACAAGTGGCGTAGGCAACTGCTAAAAGACCTACGTCATGTAGCCATTCAATGTATTCACCCAACCCGTCCCCTTGCCTCGAGTCCCTGCGCTCGAAATCTGCACATACCAATTCCCCCTCTCTCCCTCCCACCTCCGTCCAACCCCCTCTCCGCATATCGAATCTGACACCCAAAAGTGTGCTCATGCATTGCTAATCCTCTTCCCCCACCCTCCCCCTCCTACTATGCCCTTTGCAGTATACCTCCTCCCGAACACTTTCCATATACTACGCTTCCACGGCAAAACCAGTACACGGATCTTCCTTCTATCCGCCCTTCACTCCCTCTCCCCTCTCTGTTACGTGGCCACGTCACGTTCTCACTTAACTTAACCAACCATTCCTTCCTACCTCTGACTCCACGGTCACCATCTTCATACGACAGCCCTCTCCTCCACCCGTCCCCCTATCCTTCCCTCTTCCCCCCTTATTCCCACCTCTCCCCACTTCCGCTAGCCCTCCTTCCCACCCGTTCCCCTGCCCCTTCCTTCTCCATCCTCCCTGCTCCCTCGCTCCGCCTTTCCTTCCTTTCCTCCTTCTCCCCCTTTCCGTGCCTTTCCCTCTCTGCCTGCCCCCCGCCTACACACTATACAATCTGCCAGTAAATTAGCAACTCGCGCAGCTGCCAAGGTAAGCCGAGGCGAGCCCAGCCGAGCCAAGCTTTAGTAATTGCCGTTCTCTGCCACATCTGCTCGGTAAATGTTAGTCAAAAGTCATCAAAATCTGCCTTTGAAAGACGGAGGAAATAAAGAATAATAGACAGAACGCAAGAATAATAGCTGTTTTATAGAATTCGAAGTAAGACAAAAGAAAGAGTGAAAAAAAGACAGGATTAAATTCACAGTGAATTGAAAAGTATGTAATTAATCAAAGTATTTAATTAAATGTTTGTCCGGTTGACCTTTGGTGATTTGACACGCATAAATGGTAGAGTCCGTGATACACAAAGTGTGTTTTGGACTCGCAGGCTCACAAATGTCTAGCATTGTCCCTGCACAGCTGCGTCTTAACAAAATTTACTTTGAGATCTCAACGAACCTGTTGATTTTCAAATTAGTTTTTTGGCTTACTGTCGCAGCAAGTCATTTGTTAAAAGTTTTCTTGTTAAAAGATTTCTTTTCTGAGTTCACTCGAGCTGTCCAGCATCACACAGGTGGCCTCCCTTCTTCCTCCTCACTCCATTCTCACTCCAAATTATACAATAACTGCTATTATTACTGACCAATGGCACACAAATTACACGTGCGCTTGCACTTCTGCGCCATCAGCTTTTGGTAATTGGCCTGTGTACACAGTTTGTGAAACATAGCACATAATTGATAGTTTGCGTCAGCACAACCACCGTGTCTGCAGAGACCACATGTTCCAGCACACTCCACCGCCAGGATAGCCCTGAACGCGTCATCGGCTGTGGCACACTGGCCACGCTCCGCGATCGCGCGGCAATCCAATGCGGACTCTGAAAATTTAAAATTGTGTAGAGCAGAAGTCGTCTGATGTACTATTAGCTGTCTCTGCTTGACGCAGGCAAGCTCGTGGATGGAGTTAAAATCCCAATGATTCTTCATGCTTTACGAGGGGATGATGCAACGAGAACTGATTTGATTGATTTCATACTGTTATCAGCTATTGCTTCGTGACAACGCTTTCATTCAAGATTTCTTACATCGTGAGCAAACAACAGCCTGACTCCTTGGTCTAATAAACTCGCTGTTAACAACCCTGACCATTCTTTTCATTAATAATAATTTGGCTAAACAAAAGCATTTCTGGAAGGGGCT